TTCTTGATATCTGCTGAGAAGTTTGTAGTGGAGTTTAAAAATGATTTAATCGTGTCATGCCGTCGGAACTCTATTGCTAAAATGTAAAACCTATCTTATATCGTTCCTTATGCCTTAGGAAAGCAAAATCGATTGGTCGTCAAAAAATCGTGGGGTGCAGGGGGTAGTTTGGGGTAGTTTTCCAAAAAATGTCAAAAAATTTTTTTTGCATAATTTAAATCTACACTACGTGTTCAATGATCTGCGAAAGTTTCATTTGGAAATTCCGAGAAGAAGTATTTTATTTCAAATTTTAAAATGTTTGCGCAACACGCACTTATATGGAGTTCCTTAATATAAAACAGCTCGCACTGAAACATCAAAATTGCAACATCATTCACACATAGATAACTCAAAAATGCTTATTCTAATCAAAAAAACACTTTCTATAAACGTTGTAGATCAAAGATCAGGGATTAAAATGCTTTTTTATAACCAAAAATCCGATAAGTCGTTTTGTCAAAAATCTGTAAAGTGTAAAACCATGTCGTGGCGACCGCGCTCGGACGCGGAGATGCGAGGATGGTTGAAAATCCCTTGGCACGCTATTGATTCTGTGTGGTGCACGGTCCATATGTATTTTCAGACCTAGATGGTCGCTTTTCGTTTGCGCTCTATCATAAATTATTTTCCATGACCACCTACAATAAAAATCTTCTTCTTTTTTTGTTTGATATTAGCTGCTTACGATCAAGCACTTTTCTTACCTAACTTAAAGAATCTAACTTAGTTGCGCGTACGATCTATCACAACTAAGTTAAAATCTGCCTTCCCCCCTTTCCCCTGCTAAGACACCCGGATTTTTAACTGAGATAACTTAGCTGACCTAAGTTGGCGCGAAGTACGCATTTTTTGAATTTTGACGTTTAATAATTTCTAAATTGAGGTTGTTTCTTTATTTTTATTTTGTTGAAAGTTGGTCGTTGGAACAGGAACTTTGAAAAGGTGTTTAGTTTAATGAAATGTATTATTCATTATTGCCATTGCACGCGTCATGACACTTCTAGGTAGATAATTGTTCATTTTTAATGTGAAATAAACTGTGCTGTAGTACAAAAACAATTCAGTTTCAATTTCAATTGAAAATAAATTAATAAAAACAACAAACTGAACCTGAAACTCTCGTCGTAACTAGAACCCGAACTAGAAATACGTGACGTGAGTCGTAACTTGATAGGCAGCTGATCAGCCTATATGAATTGCGCGTACGATCAAACAACTTAGCTCAGCTAAGAAAATAACTTTAACTTAGGTAAGAAAAGTGCTTGATCGTAAGCAGCTATTGTTGAAATAATTTTCTATGGCCACCTATGTTGAAATCTTTTTTTTTGTTAAAGTTTTGACACTTCCAAGGCCACCTACGTTGAAATTGGACAGCTACTTCAAATAAGGCGCTTTTTTGTCATCATTTTCCATGGTCACCTACGATAGAAATATTCTTCTTTTTTTGTTTGATATTGTTGAAATAATTTTCCATGGCCACCTACGTTGGAAATCTTCTTTATTGTTTAAGTTTGACATTTCCAAGGCCACCTATGTTGTCATTTGACAGCTACTTTAAATAAGGCGCTTTTTGTCATCCTGTTCCATGGCCACCTATGATAAAAATATTCTTCTTTTTTTGTTTGATATTATTGAGATAATTTTCCATGGCCACCTAGGTTGGAAATTTTCTTTTTTGTTAAAGTTTGACATTTCCAAGGCCACCTATGTTGTCATTTGACAGCTACTTTAAATAAGGCGCTTTTTGTCATCCTTTTCCATGGCCACCTATGATAAAAATATTCTTCTTTTTCTGTTTGATATCGTTGAGATAATTTTCCATAGCCACCTACGTTAGATTTTTTTTTATTTGTTAAAGTTTGACATTTCCAAGGCCACCTACGTTGACATTTGACATACTTTAAATAAGGTGCTTTTGTCATCATTTTCCATGGCCACCTTGGATAATAATTTTCTTCTTTTGTTTGATATTGTTGAAATATTATAAACAACTTCAATCAAAACATAATTTTTGGTCAAATTGATAGCAAAACTGCATTAGATATCTAACGTTTGTGACTTTTTGGTGTAAAATATTGACTGGATTCAAATTTGCATACAACTTTTATTTAACTTAATTCGTAGCTCGAATATTAACGGAGTTATTAATTAATAACTTTAGTGATAGTGCTGAATTAATCCGGAGTATCCATATTGTCTATTTTTTGTAAGAAGGTATACTTATTATATTTTGTAAGTATTTCTATTATATACCTCTTCAATATAGGTATCATTTTTAACGAATTGAGGTAAATTTACATAGGTATCATATTTTTCTAGAGACGATGGATTTGAGCAGTACTAGTTCTGACAGTGAACTAGAGTCGAAAATTAAATTAAAACTCTTTAAAAAAGAAACTGTCAGCTATGAAGCTGAAAATATTAACTATCAGCTGTGCGTTTTTTCTCAAAAAGGCAGAAACTTGTTTGAATCTCATCAAAAATCCCGACAGAAATTCATTGAATGTACGAAGGTCCGTATGAACTTTAGTCAAGGCAACGATACTGTATTAGGGCATATATTTTCAAATTTCAATGATATAAAAGAACAAGAAAGTTTAAAATGGCACACAAATTGCTACAAATCGTTTACAAGCTCCCAAAATATTGCATCATACAAATCAAAGTATGCAAAGTTAGCTACCGATACCAATATATTATTACCAGTAGATACACCTCAAAAACCTAATTTTCGGACAGCTCCATTCGATGTACAGAAATGCATCTTCTGTCAAAAACGTTTGAAAAACCTAAAATTATGTCAAGTGATGATCACTAATATGGAACAGAAAATTAAAAATATATCGCGTAGAAACCCTTTATTTCACGGCAGGATCGGTGACAATGACTTAATTGCATCTGGAATCAAATATCACGTCCCCTGTGTTTCTACAGAATTAAGGAATTCAGAAAAAAAGTCTTACGAAAGCAGCGCGAGTGGAAAACGGAAATTCGACGAAGGAAACAAGTCGTTGCAACAGTTATTTGATGAACTGAAGCAAGCATTTGACAAAGGAAAAGGATATTCGACAACTACAGTAAAACAAAGATGTCTAGAAATTTGTGGACAACTAGATGTATTAAGCGACAAAACTTTAGTTAGAAAAATTCAGGAATATTTTGGCAATGATATAGAATTAGTTTCGTCTCCAAGAAAAAATGAACCAAGGATATTTTTGAAAAGATTTTCTAAAGAACAAGCTATTGATACAATAGCCCATTACACTGAAACCGAATTATCAAAGATATCTTGTGGCACATCTGAAATACAAACTTTAACTAAAATTTGCCAAGATATAAAAATAGAAATAAATAACATACCAAAAAATGCAGATTTCAAAAACCTAAAAATTGGCGATTACAAAAAGTATATTCCACAAAATTTGTATTTTCTCATTAGTCTTCTAGTATGCAACTATTCTAGCGGTGATACGAAAGAATCTATTGCCCTTAATGTTTGTCAAGACATTATTTTTGCAACTTCCAATGAAAAAAAATACACACCCAAACATATCGGTTTGGGATTATTAGTTCACCAAGAAAAAAGATCAAAAAAACTTGTAAAAACACTGCACGCTTGCGGTCACTCTATCTCGTACACTGATATATTAAGGGTACGTAACAGCATTGCCCAAGAAGAAATAAATCTCTATTTGCAAAATGACAGAGTAAAAATTCCGAGGCAACTAGTTCCTGATAGATTTGTCTAATTCGCTGCTGATAATATTGACATCCTTGAAGAAACTTTAGACAAGGCACCAACATTTCATGGGACACAAATGGCAGCATTTCAGAGAGGTCCAATTGTAACAGCCATACCCGGAAATTTCGAATTTTTGCCATATCACGTGAAACCAAATGTTCCTCATAACTTTCATTCACTCGAAAAGGCTTGGTTTGATAAAAGTAAAAAGAAGGTGCAAAGTGAAGACAATCAGTCAATTATTATGGAAAACAAAAATCTCAGCTACAAACACAAATACCAAACCATTGCTTGGTGTATTTCTAGGATGAATGACTCTGAGAACGAAGAAATGGTTATCCCTCAGTGGTCAGGATTTTATAAATTAATTTTTAAAAATGATTCCAATGTTACGACTTATGGATATCTTCCTTTATTGCCACACGTTTCCTCAGAATATGATACAGTTTGGATAGTAATCATAAGGTGTCGTCAAATTGCAGAAAAACTCAATAATACTCATACAGTTATAACATTTGACCAAGCCATTTATTATAAAGCGAAAGAGTTACAATGGCATAATCCGGAACACACAAAAGACGTAATATTCCGCTTATAGTCCAAGAGCCCAGAGCCGCCAGACACAACTTATTTTCTAAAGGACAGAATATGTGGGATTGTGTAGCACTTATATGTACTATGAACGTATGTATACCCGCTAAGTTGGGTAGACGGCCAATTTACCAACACCAGGTGCGAAAGCTGAAGAAAGCTTTAACTTTTTTTCTAACGCGTGATTTTTATATATGGTATTGGGGAGACTATTTCATACCTACGTGTGCTCAGCCAGACCAATCGCACCGGCCAAACATCCCCCCAGACGCAAAATAATTTTTCCAGGAGTGTGAGCGCGAGGGTACTATGCATGCGTTTGAGAGTGAGCGAGATATCTATGTCAACTGATTTCCGCCTCTTAAACTTACAGTCTACTCCAGGCTAGAGTAGAAATGGGATTAGGTTTTTCCCATAATAGGAAAAACCGTTATTTACAAATAACAGTCAATTGACCGTCTACCCAACTTAGCGAATATACATACGTTCATAGTACCTATAAGTGCTACTCAATCCCATATATTCTGTCCTTTAGAAAATAAGTTGTGTTTGGCGGCTCTGGGCTCTTGGACCATTAGGAGGATTTCATATTACTATAAATTTCATAAAAGCCATTGGACAGTTCATGTCCAATTCGGGTCTAGCTGATGTTTGGATTGAAAGTGGACTATACGGCCAGTCTACTGTAGATGGAATGTTATCCGGAAAAAAATATAACAAAGCGATACGAGCGCATAAATTAACCTACGACAGTCTTATGAGAATACTTATACCTTTTTTCACTACATGGCTTATCGAGAGCAAAAGTCCGTCTGTATATTCATTAAATCTAATCAATTTCTACATAGCAGAAATTCGCGACGATTTGAAGACTAAAAGAGATGCGTTGCCAAGTTTCTTGAAACTATCCAGTTTAACAGGTGAACTATTCACAGACTTTGAGGAGTTTATAGAGGCACAAACCGCTACCACTAAATACTGGTGTAGGTACTTGAACTTGGTAGAGATTTTGCTAGAATTCCTGTTTGCCGAAAGAAGTGGTAATTAGGAACTACATTTGAATAGTTTCAGGAAAATGCTTCCGTTCTTTTTTGCCTTGGATCATCTTAACTATTCAAGATGGGGAACAGTATATTTTTTAGATATGAATAAACTTCGTAACACAGCACCAAAAGTTTATGAAGAGTTTATAGAGGGAAATTTTGTTGTAAAAAGACTGAGTGGAAATTTTAATCAACTTCCGGTAGATCAAGCACTGGAGCACATAAATAAAAGTTCAAAAGATGCAGGAGGCATAGTGGGATTGACTAAGAATAGTAGTATGTTGGATGAATGGTTTTTGAGTTACAATGTTGTTGGAATGATGATAGATGAATTTCGAAGTTCCTTAACCAGTCAAATTAATATATCTAGCAAAAATGTGGAATGTGGCAATAAACGAATGAAAGTTGATGAACGATCTGTGCAGAAGTTATTTAGTGAATTTATTAGATTTAATGTGTTCTCCAAAAGCGATGATCGGCTTTTAGTTATTTCAACTAATGAAGTTGCATCTGATATCGTGCAAACTTCCTTATTAGATGTGAATGATATTGGCGAACAAGCCCTAAAAAAATTTTCAGAAGTAGTTGGTACTCCTGACTTTTATAAAGCTTTAAAAAAAATAATCTGCGAACACTGCAGCACACCGGCGTTAAAGTAGTTGCCGGTGATAAAAGAAAAACTTTTCGAAAAGGTCAGGAATTTTTGCAGAAAATATTGGCAGCCAAAGAAATGGGAAGGCATAGTAACTATGCAGATATTTTTAAACACGAATTGACGGCATATCCAATGTCACTGGCACCAACAGGAATATTATCTACTCCTTCAAACAAATCTAATTTAGGAAACATTATAGAAAAATTTACTAGTAGTTGCAAGGATTTACCACCGGGAAATAGTGGTGAAACTTTCCACGTATTTGATGGAATGGCATTGATACAGGGACTTGGAAAACCTACGAATGCTAGAACGTTTGGAGAATATGCAAATATTTTAAAAGCAATTGTATTTAAGAACAAATATAATGCCGGAAGAATTGATTTTGTCCTAGACCATTATGAAGATTTTTCGATAAACAATTGCAGAAGAGATAAGAGGGGACATAAAAATGACGCCATAGAGAGAGCCATTGAAAGCTCAAACACATTATTACCTCAACAATGGCATTTATTTATCCATTCAATTGCTAACAAAAAGCAACTTACCGACTTCGTGGCTAATCAGTTGTACGAACATTCACATAATTTCGAAGTTAAATTTGTGACCAGTGGAGGATTTTTTGATGTCATGCAGTATAAATCAAACTATGAGGCAGAAAGTGACTTGTTAACTTCGAGTCACGAAGAGGCTGATACAAGAATCATACTACATATATTATCTGCAAAAATGGAAGGATATACAAGATGTATATTAGATTGTAAAGATACAGATGTTCTGCTATTATTAGCCCATTTCAAAGATATACTGACGCTGGAAATTTGGATGAAAGTTGGAACCAAAGAAACCGAAAGATTTATAGCCATCCATGAATTGAAAATGGATAGTTCAATGACAAAATGTCTTCCAGCGTTTCATGCACTGACTGGTTGTGATACAACCATCCAGTTTGTAGGAATGGGCAAAAAAGCATGCTGGAAGATATTTTTATCGCACCACAATTTACTTAGCAATGTTGGCATGAGTGACAATTTAGATGAAGAAGATTTTAAAAAAATGATCAAATTTGTAATACGATTTTATACAATCAACGAAAATATTCAGTGCATAAACGACCTTAGAAGGATTTTAGCGTCCTCAAAACCGATCAGCAAACTACCTCCAACTTTAGATAGTTTAAAACAGCATTGTCTTCGTGTGCACTACCAGACAAAAATATGGCTGAATAGTACGACACCCAAACCATCTTTACCAGATGTATCAGATTGCGGCTGGAAAATTGTTGATGGAAAACTGTTACCAATCTTAACTACAATATCAATACTACCTGAGGACACTTCGGCTCTTAATACTTGCAATTGTAAAAAAGGTAAAAAAAAATATAAGTAAGTATATATTATCAGTTTGAATATATTTTTTTATAGATTGCAATGGGCCACAATGTTCTTGCAAGAAAAAACAAATTTGTTGCAATGGGTCCTGTAAATGCATGGCTCAAGTAACATGTGCAAATAAAATAAAGAAAGTACTAAAAATCAAAAATACTTCACAGAATATTTCATCAGATAGTGAAGAAAATTCCGATTCTGATTGAATGATGTAAGATAGTTTAATGAGAATGTTAATAAGTTCTTATTTAATAATTATCTCTTTATTTACACAGAAATAGAAGGTTCTATCATGGAAGAATGACTCCACGGCCACAAGTACCCATAATAGGAGATAAGATGCTATACTCCGTGCTATACTCGGCTATATCTCAACTTCAAATGCGTCAATAATATGCATAATACAATTATTATCTACCTAATATCAAACGCTTATTAAATGAAGCTTATTCTACCTTTGAATATTGACGCAAATTTCAGCATAAATGCTTTACCTAACTGGTCAATAATTATTGAAGAGATTTTTGAAATGATCATTTTTCATATAATATATCTAACTGTTATTGATTTATCTAAATATTATATTCAAATACATAAACTAAAAGCCACTATATTCTTATAATGTATCTATATCTGTATCTTGGATAATTACGACGCTTTTTCAAAGAAATAGTGCACTTTCCACTGTTTCAGACGAGAAACGACTATCTAGGTTTGAAAATACATGGGGACCGTGCACCACGCAGAATCAACGCGTGCCAAGGAAATTTCAACCATCCTCGCATCTCCGTGTCCGAGCGCGACATGCTTTCACGTTTTACAGATTTTTGACAAAACGACTTATTGGATTTTTGATTATAAAAAAGCATTTTAATCCCTGATCTTTGATCTACAGCGTTTATAGAAAGTGTTTTTTTGATTAGAATAAGCATTTTTGAGTTATCTATGTATGAATGATGTTACAATTTTGATGTTTCAGTGCGAGCTGTTTTATATTAAGGAACTCCATATAAAAGCGTGTTGCACAAACATTTTAAAATTCGAAATAAAATACTTCTACTCGGAATTTCCAAACAAAACTTTTGGAAATCATTGAACATGTAGTGTAGATTTAAATTATGCAAAAAAAATTTTTTGCAATTTTTTAGAAAACTACCCCAAACTACCCCCTGCACCCCACGATTTTTTGACGACCAATCGATTTTGCTTCCTTAAGGCATGAGGAACGATATAAAATAGGTTCTACATTTTAGCAGTAAAGTGCCGACGAAAATCTTCTCTAGAAGTATTATTTCAGGGTCTTAACTGTACTATTGTTAGTTTGTATCAATTTGTATCATTAGGGTTTCCAAAATTGTATTTTTTGAAACAATAGACAGGGCACTAGTCTTCAGGTAGATTGTCTAAATATTGTCAATTTGTCAATATAATTGTAATAATTATTAATAAAAAAATCCATGTTATAAAGAATGGTGAATGTTTATTTGAAGAAGTAATAGCAATTTTAGATGAAATTACAACACTACATTATTTAGGATAAAAGTTAGATAGCTTGTTTCGTGGTATCACTGGAACTCGACTAACTGTTTATTGGCTGACGAAAATCTTGAACGTCGGGTATGCATGATCTGAAAAATTATAACCTGCATCAGCTTCATCCACAATTTAATAAAATAAAGTGTTCTTCAAATTTTGTAGCAATTTACCTCTGACAGCCCGTCAGCCAAAGGTTGAACGTCGTCATCGATATACAAGTCCAGCGTATTTAATCCGATTTGTATAGCCATGTCCTGCACAGTAGCCGCACATACTTGTACAATTTAAACCGTATATTCTTCTGCAACCGCATCTCTTCTCGCACCCAGATTTACAATTGCAGGATATGATGTTGAGTACCCGTTCGGGTGCTGGTTCTTTTGTACTAGAAAAAAAAGAACTAGACGGCATCACCTCCTGCGTACAACGGAACAACAACAACAACACCATGAAAGTAGAAGGTCTAAATGGAAACGTTTGGAATCTAAGCTCGGTATACGAAGAACCTGGAATCAAGCAAAATCACAGACTAAATTGAAACGAGGATATATACAATCGTATAACGGACGGACATGTGCTTGCCAGCGAACTAAATGCGCATAACGAAGCATGGGGTGACAATATAACTGATGCAAGAGGAAGCCGGCTGCTCGACTGGACAACGAATATGAAATAAATAATCTGGAAGGGCAAGTAGTACCCACATTTTTAGCAGCCAGATAAAGTAGCTTTATCGACGTAACAGTGACCAAGAACATAGACATAATGGACTGACAAATTCTGGAAGAAGAGACACTGTGCGGGCACAGATACATAACCTATAATGTAAGGAAAGTCATGGTAAACAAAGTGCTCGCCAAGAAAGTCTATGACCTTGAAAACACAAATTGGGAACACTTCGAAAGCAACTGTTTATGAGACTAGTAGACACACATGGGCGCAAACGAACAGAGCACAACCAAACGAAAATGCGGCACGTTTGCAAGAATTCTGCAGTAAAGCATGCAAGCTAAATATAAAACGGAACATGGTGGAGGAGACTACGCAGGACTGGTGGAATGAGGAAATACAAAGCGTCAGGCAGACCACTAGAAAGAGCAGACGGGAATGGCAAAGAGAACATCCGATTAGGAATGCTGAACGACTGCTGAGATATAGGGAGCACAAACACGCCTACAAGAACGCAATACAGGAAGCCAAAGTTAAAGCCATACAACATGAAATAGAAGAAACGTCGAACTATAACCGTGGCATAGATATAAAAATTTCCTGGGAAAAAACAAGGATGCAAAACCGCGGGAGAACATACGAAAGGACGACGGAACATATACAGGGGGCCAGTTTTTCCCAGATAGCGAATTTTTCCGAAGATATTTTTTTTGGCAGTTTTGGGATTTCAATTAGGACATTATCCGTAACATTCTTAACAATTTTTAGCTTGTTATTTCAAATGCCCGGTTTCGGCCAAATTTTTGGCTTAATTGAAATTAGCCTTTCTTTAATTGAACAATAACAGATACCGTCTAAACTGCATCAAGGAATAACTTGTGAAGAAATTGGTTAACCCCAGCAGCGTGGAAAAGAGGGTTTATGGAATTAAAAAAAAAAAAATATTATGTTTGAGTTTCCCTAAGCGTTACAGTTCAAAAGGTGTTATAACTGCAATGAGTTCGATTTTGATATTCAGAGGCGTTGAGTAAAACGAATCAGTTTTTTCAATTTTTTTACACTTCTATAATTCCGACAGTCATTTGCTAACTTGGCGAAGACGGGGAGAATTTTATTTCGAAGAAAACATGAGTACGCACCATAATGTAAAAATATGTGCGTCGCCGATCTGTTCGGATATAAACAAATGAAAATTGCTGCTATTGATATTGCAAGAATTTTGAATGAAATGAAATCACAATCGAGACTGAAGTTAGAGCTAGAAAGAAAAATCATCAATTTAATCACGAATCAGTCGATGCACAGAAAAGAAAAAATTTAAAATATTTTTTTTCAATAATGTTCTTGAAACTACACAACAATTCTCGGCTCTGGAAACCAATAGCAGTAACTTTCAATTTTTATGTGATATTCTAAAACATAAAATTAATATAGATGACGAAATCTTAAAAAAATATTGCACGAATCTCCAGTCAAAACATTTTGTCGAAAATGATTCAGACTTAAATGCAACTGATGTTCAAGGAGAATTACTTGACGTATCTCGAATACTACCATCATCTATGAAAGTTTTGATGTTTTAAGCTATTTGTTTGATAATAATTTAAGTTCTTTATATCTGAGGACTTTTTTAACGCTTCCTGTTTCTGTAGCCAGCGGAGAAAAGAGCTTTTATAAATTAAAATTAATTAAAAACTATTGAAGAAATTCATTAGGCCAAACCTCGGGCCAAACATAATTTAAAAATTTATCAATTCAATCTAAATTAGTTTCCACTTTAGATCACACAGTCTTCATTCATGAATGCATTTTGTAATGTTTTTTTTTTTTTTTTTAATCACAATTTAAAGTATGAGTGGCAAGGGGCGGCAGGGGTTGAGGGTGGCAGGCGGCATTTTGAAGACTCGCCTCATGCTTAAAAAATCTACCGCATAGCCCTGATTGATAGTTTGGGGCGGTATTCAAAACAATGGGAAGACAGAACTCCTGATATTTTTTCTCGGGTGCTCGAAATTATGATGAGGATATTGTTCTTGTTGACGATAATGCTCGGCGTTATCGAGCAATATTAGTAAACGGGTATCTGCAAGAGCAAAATCTTAATCGTACTGAGCTGCCTCCTTATGGGACCCTCCACTTTTCAAAAAAATGAAAATTTTTCGCTCCTTCACATCCGCACCCTATATAACGAGAAGGGATTTTTTAAAAAATATATCCCAGGCACCAGTAGTTATATCTAGTCAAAATTAGGCAAATTTTTAGTTTCCCATTTCATCTGCCGTTCAGTTTATTTTGCTCATAAAACTTTCCTACAACTGGTTCCAACTTTAACCGTCCTCAAGAAATGAATAATTGATAGTAACGAATTCTTTATAACTATAAATCGCAACAGCTACTAGCTTCGAATGAAAAGCAAGCTTGTGTAAATCAAAAGAAAATTCGAAAAGGCTGCATGTATTCAAGAAAAGAATAACATTAAAAGCAAATGAGTTGACCAACGAAAAGTATGCTAAACAAAGAGATCCTGAATATAGTTGAGTAGTTTGAAGTTTAAATCCTTAGAATAAAATAGTTCTCTAGAAAAAATTCGATATTCTAATTAATTTAGAAAAATCGCTATAAACTTTCATTTTCTTGGAATCAATTATTTCTTTATGGGTGCCAAAAAAAAATTGTTATTCCCTTGAAAAGGCAGTTCAAAACTATATTACAACGACAAAGTACTCGTTATTTTATTCGGTCGTGACCAGAATCAATACAATCGTATCGTATGGGT